GGAATTCTGGGAGTTGAAGTCCACAGGTCTTAAAGTTGCCAAGGTTGAGAAACACTGCTGTAGCCAATGATGTCAAAATTAAACATGTATGCCAGAACTTCATTGTGCAAATGATGCAGTTAAGATCTGCTGCGTAATGTTTGGAACAAGTATGTAAGTTGCATGCAACACTAATTGGTGGTTTCTTGCCACTTCTGAAGTCCCATATCCATGAGTGTCTATCAGAGGGTGGGGGCAAGGAGGGAAGTGACATGCCATGATGTCATCATGCAAATGAAGTCAGTGTGGCTTGTCGATGGCATTGGGCTATTTTTCCAAGGACTGCCTTCTAGGATAATGCTGACCTGGATCATACATCCCATTACTGAAATGATTAAATAAGTCACAATTGACTAGGTTCGTGCAACAGTCTAAGCCTCAAACCATGACCTATAAACCTGTGGTCATGCAACAGACTAAGTTGCAAAGAAGCTACATTTTTTATTGATTATGTGGCATCAAGTCATTTCCGACTCCTAGTGACCACAGAGATAGATTTTCTCCATGATGCTATAATTTAGCTCTGCGTCATATGTTAGGTGGGAACTTTGAGGCTAGAGAAGACTTCTGAGAATACTAGCCAAGAAAACAAACAATTGGATCATAGAGCAAATCAGTCCACTTGAGGCACAAATTGACCAGGCTCCAATTATCTGACTTTGGACGCATGATGGGCAGACCCAGCTCTCTGGAGAAGGCTCTTATGCTGGGAAGGGTGGAAGGAAAAAGAAGAAGAGGAGGACCAGCAGCAAGGTGGAGGGACTCAGTTATGATGTGGTCACCATTGGGAGGACCACGTTAGGGACAGATTGTCCTGCAGAAAATCTATCTGTGTGCTCACTAAGAGTCGACACTGATTTATTGGCGCATAATCTTAACCCATAATGTTAACCTATCCCTTGTTAGTCATACCCCATGAAGAGTCATTGTGGATTTATTTGCAATTAAAAATAGAGCAATCAGTTTTTCGCCTGAGGACAATTAAATAGTATATGATGGCAACCTCTGGTAGAACTTCAAAAGCTAAGGAAGAGTCTTCATGATATCAAACCAAAGCTTTCATTCTTGGTATTATTTCTTCCCTTTCACTGTGACTCAGGTTCCACTGTGGGTTTGTAGAAGAGTTTGCTCCAGTTTTTTACTGAATCATCTGTCATTTGAGAAAAGCAGTTCCTGCTGAAGCTCCTCCAGTGAATGAATACCAAAAGATGCTGAGGACACCCAGGGGAACCACCATGATGGAAAACATATGGAATGTAAGTAAATAATATAAATACACCTAATAAAATAAATATATCAATACACCAAATAAAAGACGTAAACCCAGCCATGTTCCTGAAGGAAAGCCAAGAGCAAGATCAAACAGTGGCATTGTTTTCTTAATATGTTTAATCTGGTTAATGAATTAACCCACTTTCTGTGTTTGCACAAGCTATGGAGTCATAAACCAACCGAATGGCTATGTTCAGGTGACATGCTAAGTCCTCCCTCAACTAACCAAGGTTTAAGCTAATCAAGCTTACTATATTGTGCAAATAGAGGCACTAGGAACTTTAACTGACTTCGTTGCATTGACACAGCCAATGTTAGGCTTCTTTGGTGAGACCTAAATTCAAACAACAATGTTGGTTTGCGATCTGTCATTGTCTTCACATAGCTTATGTTGAGCTCTTTGAAGGAAAATAAGGACCCATTTGTATCCATCACACTAAGGTAATTGTGGTTTGTTGAATACATTAAACTGTGGCTTACAAACTACAAGGGCTGGGTTTGCATGTACGCTAAACCAAAATCATGCCATCCATGCTACCATGGCCCTTTATGGAGGGCAAATGATTCAACTTACAAACTTGCATTGGACATCATGACGCCAATTACATCATTGCATCATTTCTGTGATGTTATTATAAACCCTGTGCTATCATTCTGGCATCATCATGGCTTGTTTTTGAGTCTGTCCCTGCTATCTGTCTTTCTCTGTCTTTGGAGAAGTGACCTTGTCCATATGAGTCTTCTTCTGGTGACACAGGAAGGCCCTTTCTTGGTGCTGCCATCACAGCAACACAGATCTTTCTCAATTCCTGGGAACAATGCTGGGTCTGACAAACTTGGCCTTTTCCATCATTCCAGATGTGCCAGCCTTCAAGAACCCAGCCAGATGTGGATTATTTAGCAAACCATGGCTTGGTCCAATGTGTGAGCCCAATCTGTAAGTAAAAGAGTAACTGGGCTCACCAAATTGTGCGGCTTTGTGAGTTGCCTGAACCCAGCCACTATGTTGTGTGAAGCCTAGCTTGTAGGGTAGGAGCAGAGTTCACACAACATGCTAAATCATCAAGCCTGATTTACAAACCACAGGGGCCAAGTCAAATCATTCACACAACACCCTATAATATGGTTTGTTCTGGCTTCACATATCATGTCAAAAGAGCCATTGGGGATTGCTGGCTAAGGCAGAAATGGTGTAAACTGCAAAACCCAAAATTTGGCTTCCTTAGCCTCTTAGTCTGTCTGTCTGTCTGTCTAGCTAAAAGACTTGTAGGGCCACCCATCTTATGTGTCACAACTCTGGGTTACAAAACCACAATAAAACCAACAGCTCAAAACAAATCTCGGTGCCCTAACCAGTGTTTCCTAACCCATCAACATTTTCAGTGCTTGAGGGGGAAGAGTCAGCTTTTTAAGGCCTTCTGGAACCCTGGGAGAGTGGGGGGCCTGCAAGCACGTAAGGGAGGCTAAAAAAGGTTGGGGGGGGGGACCAGCCATTGTCACCACCTGGTGAACCAGGCCATCCTGTTAAACTATAATATGGTGGAGTTCGTGTTTTGTTGACTTGAGTTTGGGAGTTGGCATGCTCTGTGAACCCTGCTAATCATAGTTTATTCAACACACCATGGTTAAGTGAAACACAACTTAGTGTTCTGTATCAGATCCAGGCATTGAGTAGCTGAAGTTCATAAAACTCTCGTCCTAAAGGCTACACCATCTGCTCTTTAGTTCTGGTATTTTAGATTGGGCCAAGATTTTGTACTTGCCTTCTCTGAATGTGCAAAGTGGGGAGCCTGGCAACTCCCACAAGATTGATGCCATCTCCAGGGAGTCACCAACAAGCGCTAATAGTTTCCACTCCCCCGACACCCTCTCGTCCGGGCTCAAATGCCAAGCTAGAAAGCCGAGTGTGGAGCAAAGAGCTGGCCCCACTACTACAAAGAGCCCAGCTGTTTGGCCCAACGCCCTAGAAGCCGGGATTCCCGCCCAGGGCTTGGCATTTCCCTACACACAGCACAGCTTTGTTCTGCAAGTGCCTTTAGGGAGGGGGGGAGTGGAGTTGAACTTAAAGAGCAGCTGTTGAAAGTAAGAACAGCCTGGGGCCAAAGCAGATAATGATAATAATAGTAATAATAATAATAATGAAGAAGATGGAGAAGGAGAAGGAGAAGGAGAAGAAGGAGAAGGAGATGATTGCCCAGGGTGGGGGGAATTTCCTGGGAAATCTCAATAAATTACCATGGGGGGGGGTGAGAGAACGCTGCTATTTGGGGGATATTTGTCAGAAATCCGTCTGAATTGCCTCGACTTTATAATAGTCCCTGGGGTTAGCAACTGACACACCTTGGCCCAAATCTGGCTGTTTCCCATTCGCCATCCCCAGAGGAGGGAAAGGAATCTGGATGAGCTCCATTTCTGTCTGAGAGACTGTTGGTGCCACTTTGAACAGGAATTGGGGAAAAAATAAGGCGAGACCTCAAATCTTAGTTCTCCAGCTTGGCTCCTTCTCTCTCTGACCCACTGGCAGTAGTTGCTGACCAGCCAAACAGCGATTTTTTTTCATCTTCATTGCTGAGAATGCTTTTGTCTGTGGGTATGGCAGGGCTCCCAAAATAATTAGTGGTATCCACAACAAGACTGTTCTGAAAAAGTTGTCTGGGTGTGAAGAAAGACAAATTGCTTACCATTTCATGGAAAGAGACTCAGCACACACACGGGAGAGAAGATCCTCAAATTAAGGAAAAGGAATTATCCAGAACTTCCAAGCACTCATGGTCCAAAATAGCTCCCTACTTACGGAAGGATGAATCTTATCATGGGGACAATTCTCAAGACAATGTGTAATTTAAACTATTTAGACTCCAAATTTGCTATCACTTTATGGAGTTGGATTTATCTAGGCCAGGGTACCCTATATATCTTGGTGACAAGAATTAAGATGATCACTAGAGGACCACGAAGAGTTAGTGCCCTGGATCTCTTTCCTGCCATCTAGTGGTCAAAGAGAAATTTGCAGCTCATGCTGGAGACTCCAAGTTTTTGTTAGTACTCTGTCAAGAGCCAGACTGGGACTTTATGGGGTGAAGAAGCAACTGGTCCTCCAGATGTTGTCATACTGCAGTTGCTATCAACTACAGCCACCATGCCTAATGGTGAGTTATGACATAGGGCTTGGTTTTCTGACGGACATCTGTCTCTTGTAGTTTCTTTCTGGCAGAGTTGGCACACTCCGGGTCCCATCTATTAAACAGTGTCATCTGGTGGAACCTAGGAAGCATGCCTTCTCCTTAACAGCATCTGGTTTGTGGGACAACATCTCCCAGAGAGTCACTGCCCCCCCAATCTTGTTCAAAAGAGCTCTTAAAATTTGGTTCTTGCTTGGGCCTTGGGCCAGAGCGGGTGCTCCTGGGGTGTTATATGGCTCTTTTTTAGAGGTTGGGGTTTGTTTTAGTTCTCCAGATGTCTGTGTTTATTTTTCCAGATGCTTTGTTTGCATTTTGGAATTGTTTTAATATTGTATGCCTTATACATTAAATCAACCAAGAAATCATTGGAGAGAAAACCAAGGAATAAGGAAAAAATGCCTCCAGTGTTGGGCCTTGACCCTAGACAAGATAATACTCCTCTCCCCAGAAAAAGAAAGACCAGCCAGCTCAGGACATCCAAGTCCATCAAGACTAGTTTCACCTATCAAGGGCTTAGCATAATCTGTAAATTCTGCCCTGGGTCTCCTCAGTGTCTGTGCACTTTGTGTGTGTGTGTGTGTGTGCGCACAAGTGCCTTGTATTTGCAATCATTAAGCATCAACCTAATGCAGAGAACTTCAGCAGGTGAAGCTTTCTCATGATCCCATGCCTGAAAGAGCTTCACCTACTAACTTCCTGCATGCTGGCCAGCTTTTTAAAGGTACAACAGAAGAGCCGATAAAACGAGCTGACAACCTTAAACAAAAAAAGAGAGAGAGAGAAAGAGCAATTCTGGCAAATTATCCCTAAAGAAAATACTGTGCACTTTTGTGTAACTTTCCTAGCAGGTTCCTTTTGGGCAGTTGACTGGTGGAAATGGGTTGCCCTCTACTGGCTGCTCATGCATAAAATCACCCAGTGAAATGCAAGTACAGGTAGTCCTTGCCTTTTGACCACAGTTGGGACTGGAACTTCTGTCACTAAGCGATGCGGTCATTAAGTGAGCTGTGCCTGATTTTACCTTTTTTGCTGTAGTCATTAGGTGAATTTGGCTTCCTCCACTAACTTTGCTTGTTGGAAGCCCCCTGGGAATGTCGCAAATGGTGGTCATGTGACCCCAGGACACTGCAACTGTCATAAATACATGTTGGTTGCCAAGCACCCGAATTTTGATCATGTGACCGCAGGGACGCTGCAACGGTTGTAAGTCACTTTTTTCAATGCCGTCCTAACTTTGAATGGTTGTTAAACTAATGATCATAAGTTGAGGACTACCTGTATAGGAATGTGGCACAGATTTGTTATGCAATGGTTAAAGTGTTCAGGTGTTGTGTATGTGTGGGTGTGAGAGAGGAGGAATCATAGAATCCCAGGGCTGGAAAAGGAGCTTGGAAGTCTTCCAGTCCCTCCAAGGGATTCCAGTCCCTGGCCAGGATGGGAATCCTCAGACCATCCCAGACAAATAGCTGTCCAACCTTTGCTTGAAGACTTTCAAGGATGTGACACCCATGAGTCCAGGGGGCAGACTGGTCCTCTACTTCATAGCTTTCGCAGTCAGGAAATGCCTCTTTATTTCAAGTTTGGATCTCCTTCTGTAAAACTTCCACCCATTGGTTCTTGTCCTACTCTTGGGCACTATGGAGAATATATCCACCTCCTCTTCCCTGCGACAGCCCTTCAAGTACTGAAAGACTACTATCATGTCCCCCCTTAGCCTTCTCATCTTTAAGCTAAGCATACCCAGTTCGATTAACCATTCTTCATAGGATTTAGCCTCCAAGCTCCTCACCATCTTTGCGGCTCTTCTCTGCACTCTTTCCGTCTGCAGCCTGAATCTCGGAGCCAAATTTATTTTCTTTTCCCGGTCATTCTCCCAGCCAGCTGCACCAAGCAGTTCAGCAAAGATGGTGTCCTAAGGCTGCCAAATCTGAGTTGCAAAATTCTATAGAGCCACTCGAGGGCAGCAAGAGGTTCAGAAGAGGCTAACTTTCAGTTGCTGTCTAGTGGTGCCACTCAGATCTGGTGGCCATCAGCCTGTCACCGGATGGTCAGGTTGAACTGTGGTTTTTTAAAGTTTGATAACCAAGGGATGCTGGTTCCATAGATGCCGTTATGTCACCAAGAGAAGGAGGACTAGCATTTTGGGATTGGGCTTTTAAAAATGCTAATGGTTTTCTTAAATGGCTGGTGTGGGTCTTCCGGGCTGTCCGGGTTTTCTTAAATCTCATTGAGATAAGAGGGAGGAGTAAGCTAAAATCAGTGGAAAATCCCCCTCAATATTCAGGGGTGTGGTCTTGGATGTGGAGGTTCTAAGGCCTGTTTGTGACCCCCAGGGCTGCCCACCTCTAAGTGAAATTAAATATTGAGTTGGAAGAAAAGTTTCTTTTCTTGAAATGAATTTGAGATGGGGTGAAAAGAAATCAATACTGACTTTTAATGTAAGAATCTGAAGAGCTTTATAGCTCTCTCTCAGATAAACGTTTGTTAATAGACTGAATATTATCGGCCTGATGAGCAGGTAATAGTGAGGGTTACTTGATGGGTGTTAATTAGGACTTTAATCTTGTTAAATCAACCAGTGACATTCTGCTAAAGTTAAATGATGCACTGAATTGGGATCCCTGGAATAAGACGAGGTGTTTTACACAGCAGATATCATGCGAAATGATGGCTTGTATAACTCTAGTTTGTGGAATAAACCATATGTGGCTGATTTGCCCCCTACATTAAGATAGAAGCCACCTTTTGCAAACCACATTGGCACCGTGTGAGAATCCAATAAAATAATTGTTTCAGTTTGGCTTAACCAGTTGTGCAAAACTAGCTACTGTGGGTAAACTCTGGCTTAATGCCTAGTGTGTACCAAGCCAGCTAACCACAATTAAGCAAACTCACCAATTCACCTACGGAGAAGACCCAATTTTAAAGGCATCCTCTGCCAAGCAAGTTCACTGGGTGCCTTTGGGCTGGTTGCTATCTTTCCACCCAGCCTACCTTACAGGATGGGTGTTGGGAAAAATAGGAGGCAGGAGCGCTCTGTGGACCGCCTGGAGCTCCTGCTGGCCCTGACTCGAAGGAAGGATAACATGCATTTTTTTATTTTATTTTATTTTAT